AAAAAAAAAAAGAAAGAAAGTCAAAGAGCTGGCAATGTAGAGAGGGAGGCGGTGATGAAGTGGGGGTGGGACATTCTAAGCAGAGGGATCAGCAAGTGCAAATGTCCTGGGGCAGGCATGTCTGAGGAATAGCAAGGAACCCAGTGTGGCCAGAGAGAGGAGGAGAAATGTGATCATGTTTGCTCCCACAGGAGAAACTGGAGTATTTCTTCCTCATCGTCTTCTCCATTGAAGCTGCCATGAAGATCATTGCCTACGGCTTCTTGTTCCACCAGGATGCCTACCTGCGTAGTGGCTGGAATGTGCTGGACTTTACCATTGTCTTCCTGGGGTGAGAACTGGGTGACCTGGGATCAGAGGTCAGACCCTCTCTGAGGCCTCTATGACCAGCCAGCACCCCTAGCAACCCAGAGGTGGGGTAGAACCCCAACACTGTGCTAACCTAGGCAAGAAGCAGCCTCCTCCAGGCTGAACCCCACAGGGGTGCAGTCAGTGTTGGTGGGGAGTGAAACATTGCCCCTCCTGCCAACAGGTCACAGACCCCTTCCCCAGCTAGGTGCTGTATCTTCCTTTATCCTCTTAACAATGCTCAAAATTGGAAATGATGTGAGTGGTTGCCATCAGGTTCTGGGTGTTCATAAATTCTTCAATATATGTCATTTATTCATTTATTCTGCGGACCTGTATTGAGCACCTGCAATTTGGATTCACAAGAATGGATATTTAGTAACCCGTGTCAGTTCACCAGGGCTGCCATAGCAACATTCCAGAGAGTGGAAGGGCTTGAGCAATGGAAATTTATTTTCTCACAGTTCTGTAGACGAAAAGTCCAAGGTCAAGGTATTGGTAGGCTTGGTTTCTCCAAAGGCCTCTCTCCTTGGTTTGCAGGCAGCCACCTTCTCACTGTGTCTTCACACGGTCTTTCCCCTGTGCCTATGTACCCCTGGCATCCTACTATGTGTCCAAATTTCCTCTTCTTATAAGTACACCAGGCAAATTGGATTAGGGCCCATACCAATGATCTCATTTTAACTTAATCACCTCTTTAAAGGCCCTATCTCCAAATCCAGTCACATTTTGCGGTACTTGGGGGTGAGGGCTTCAGTGGGTGAATTTTGAGAGGACACAGTTCAGCTCATACCACTATCTTTAGTAAGGATCACCTAATTATAACAGCAGCATTTATCAAGCACTTACTATGTGCTTTCATAGGACATCTCATTAACTTTCCCAACACGCCTCTGTCTTCTCCATTTTGTGGATTAGGAAGCTAAGGAACTGAAAAGTCAAGCAACTTGCCCAGGGACACACAGCTGGCTGAGGCAGTGCCAGGATTCAACCTGAGGCAGTCTTAGCTCTAGAGGTTGCACTCTTAATCAGTATGCTGACCTCAATTCCATAAGTATTACACTGTTTACAGGCTAACTATCCATAAAGTCCCCTGCTTCCAGATGGGGTCCCAGGCCACTGGGACAGTGGCTTATCCAATTCCTGGGCCCCTTCTCTCCCTCTTCTGTGCTCTAGGGTCTTCACTGTGATTCTGGAACAGGTCAACGTCATCCAAAGCAACACAGCCCCAATGAGCAGCAAAGGAGCTGGTTTGGACGTCAAAGCCCTGAGAGCCTTCCGAGTGCTCAGACCCCTGCGGCTGGTGTCTGGGGTTCCCAGTGCGTGGCCATGTCTCTGCAGCCCCCCCCACCCTGCTTCCTTTTCCCTAGATCTGGGTCCCCCTCTTATTTTGGCACTCTCGGGGTTTTCCAGGGTTTATAGAGAGGGAGAGTCGTGAGCCCAAGAGAGGTGGTGACTCCTCTTTTCCCTCCCTGTCTGCTGCTGCAGGCCTGCAGGTGGTCCTCAACTCCATCTTCAAGGCCATGCTCCCCCTGTTCCACATCGCCCTGCTGGTCCTCTTTATGGTCATCATCTATGCCATCATTGGGCTGGAGCTCTTCAAGGGCAAGATGCACAAGACCTGCTACTTCATTGGCACAGGTGAGCTCCAGGGTGAGTGGGGAGGTGGGAGAGGTCACAGGAAAACTCAGAAGGGGGCGCCACCCCAACCAGTGAAGGAACTCCAGGGCTTGGCCATTGCTTTGCCTACCTGCCAACCCTGGGAATGGGTTTCTCCTGGACAAAGGGAGTTGGAGGAAGGTCAGCTCTGCCAGAGTCAGTGAGCAAGGCAAGTGAGCAGGAGTCTGGGCCATGGCTTATTCTGGAACACCCCTACACCCACATATGATGTGGTATCTTCCAGGCTTTCTGGGCTGGGGCTTAGGATAAGGCTGACTTTTTTATTTGGACTTTCTCTTGCAGCCATAGCTTTAGCTTTAGTCTGAGCTGCCCCTCAGTGCAGGGCCCACAGAGAAAGCTTCTGAATGGAAAAGCACCCAAGACTCATTGTTTAATTGCCAGAAATAACCTACATGGAGGCCCACATATATTTGGGCCAAACTTTGTAAACCAGCAGTTCTCAAACTGGCCTCAGGATCCCTTTTTACTCTTAACAAGTTATTGAGGCCCTAAAAGAGCTTTTGTTCATACGGTATAGGTTTGATCTGCTGATGGTTGTGGTATTAGAAATGAAAACAGAGAAAAATGTCATCACATTAATTTATTAATTCATCAAGCAAACATCATGGCATCGGGTGATGGTTAGGGTTAGGTGACCCTGGGAATGTAGAGGGTCATTTATATGTTTATGAAAAATAACTGTATTTTCCAAAACCCAAAATATTTAGTGAGAAGCAGAGGGGTCACACTGTTTTTGATTTTTTGCAAATCTCTTTAATGGCTGGCTTGATAACAGTCTGCTGGATTCTCACATCTACTTTTTATATTATTTTTATTTTACTTTTCTTTAAATTTTTAAATCTGGTAACTGGAAGATGGATCTCACATCTACCTGAGTATGCAGTGTGCTGTGACATCACACATCACATAGCCTCTAGAAAATTCCACTCTATATTTGTTGATAGAATGACAGACAAATGGGTAGCTAACATCTTAGCATTATTAAGAAAATAGTTTTGACCAGGTGGATATCCTGACACTTGCTGCTCTACAGCGACCCCTGCTTGCTGAGTCCAAGCATCACTTACACTGGGGTCCTCAGGAAACTGTGTGGGATCCATCTTCCTGGTACCAGATTTAAAAATTTAAAGAAAAGTAAAATAAAATAAAATAAAAATAATATAAAATAAAAAAGAAGTAGATGTGAGAATCCAGCAGACTGTTATCAAGCCAGCCGTTAAAGAGATTTGCAAAAAATCGAAAATAGTGACCCGTATTAGACACGCTCTCTCTTGGCTATTCTAACCCCCCAGACTAATTCTCCTCAACCTGCAGTGTCTCAGGAACTCTACCCACCTCCTCATGCCCACTGAAAACAAGAAGACAGTCATGGCCACTCCCAAACCCAACCCACAAGAGTAAACTCTGGTAAAGCTTTCAGCGGCCATGCTCCTGGACCTCTCCCATTTCGGCCTTTCCCATTACCATAACAATCTACATCCTATAATAAGTATCATCAGGACAGATAGGAGGGCACTTTCTATTATACCTTCAAACCAAAGTTGGAAGTCTCCCTGGTGTTCTCACAGGTTTTGAATGCTGACCAGCAACACTTAAAAGTTCCTCTGAAATCAGGGCCCCTCAGGACCATCGTGTCCCTCCCTTCCATCTCCAGAGCATTGAGCCCACGTGGTCAGTCTGGGTAAAGGAGGGAATTCCAGTTCTGATGAGCCAACCTAATCTCCAAACATGAAAGGAGACTGTAAAACCTCCTAAGATAAAAGGGATCCAGGATGGCATCAAAAGGGCAGGATTCAGAGACAAGAAATCATCCAAGGGAATGAAGAATGTAGGCTCAGGCCTGGTGGGAACTTCCCCTGAGAAGAGACCCCGAGACCCCTGCCCTGTCAGGGTCCCTCCGTGGATGCCACTTATCAGGGTCTGGGACTGGTTGGTCTCCGGCCCCAGCCTGTCTAGCTGTGTTCTGGACACAGACCATCTTGCTCAGGAATAATTGCTCTTAGGTGCCTGAGGGCTATTTCCCTTAGCAGACAGGAGAGAGAGATAGTCTTTGAGAGAGCAAAGCAGTCTTCTTAGAAAGATAGATCTTAGTCTTTAGCAGAGCTTAGTGATCGTCAGCTGAGACGCCGTGCTGGCGTTCTGCAGGCAGAAGTGACAGAGTGAGAGAAAACGAGTCCGTGATAGAATGCGCAGGCTCCCCACTGCCTGCTCCTCCAGCCTAATATAAGGCTGATCTCGTGCCTCTCAACACCACAGGTGTAGAGACTGCCAATTCACCACTGCTTCTCATACTTGTTAGGTGAGCTAAATCTCTTCCCACGCCCCCTTCACCAAGGTGTTCCATTATTGAGCTACAGGTGTTACTTATAACTCTCACTCCTCCTAGCCATAGGCTACACTGCCCCTTAGAACAAGTGGCTGGTACAGCCTGGCCCAGTACCTCTGCAGCAGATAGTTTGCCCCCAGATAGAGCCTAAAGCTCTGAACCCCCACCCCAACCCCACTCCAGCCAGGCAGCTGGCTCCTTATTTAAAGCACTGTGGGTGCAAATGACACTTGCATCACTCCTGTTTCACAGGCTGCACTTCAGAGAAGGATTAATCCTACAAGCAGGATCCCCTACCCCAACATGAGGCCCT